CCCAGGCTGCCCAAAATGAACTTCTTTGTCTAAAATATCACATTCATAACATTTTCACGCTTCATATATCTTAATTGCACTTATCACTGAGAGAGCATATACTACATATTTTTTTTATTGTCTGCCTCTTCTAGAATATAAAATTCATAAGAGCAGGGACTTTATCCTGAAAGTCTAAAACAATATCTGGTATATGGTAGATGTTTAGTAAATATATGCCAAATGAATTAATTAGGTTTAAATTATTTAAATTTTCCTCATTTTCATTAACAGTCTTTAAAGGTTTTAGTTGTTTGTACATACATATATGTATTTATTTAACAGGCATTTCTTTTATACCTACTGTGAACAGGAAATGGAGGTATGGGCAAAGGTGTTTCTAATCTTACAGGGGAGCTAGACAAATACAAAAGTAATGCAAAAGCATGAATAAATGAGGAAGAGAAAGAGGTGTTGAATATAAGCCATAGTCAGCTCTGAGTTTGCAAATGAATGTCACAAGTCTCATCAGAGGGATATCAGAGACAAGAGCAAGCTCCGCTATGGCCCAAAGGCAGAAACAGGGAGTCACTCCACCATAGGCCTTGGGCAGGCCATATGACCTGGCTGAATCTCCATTTCTCTTTCCGCTACCTTATGAGGTGGTTGCAATAATTCATTAGAAAGTAATGAGATAGGGACACCTGGGTGGCTCAGTAGTTGAGCATCTGCCTTCGGCTCAACATGTGATCCTGTGGTTCCGGGATCAAGTCCTACACCCAGCTCCCTGCAGGGAGCCTGCTTCTCCCTCTGCCTGTGTCTCTTCCTCTCTCTCTCTCTCTCTCTCTCTCTCTGTGTCATGAATAAATAAAATCTTTAAAGTAAATAAATAAAATCTTATTGCAATGATATCATCAGAATTCATTCAGAGCTCTGAGGCAAGATAGCAAAGACAGATCGTAGCACCTGCTTTTAAACATCATCTCAGAAGCTAGAATTGTTTAACAATCTGTGAACTGACAAGTAAGGGGTTTATATAAAGGGGCATAGTAAAATAGAAGAAACAATTATCTAAGGGTCAGAAGATCTCATTCTTAGCCTGGCTCTGCTTTTTATTAGTTATACAACCTCCAGGAAGTTGTTAAACTGTTTTGTCATCTGGAAAATTGGGACAGTAATATTTCACCGGGTTCTTATAAAGACCAAGAAACATAATACATGGCTTTGATTGTTGTATCTAAATCCATTCCCTATACTAGAAAGATCAATGACTCTTTGGAAGAAATGGCTGATTCCAGGTCTGTGGCATACAATGTATAAGATGAGCCTGGATGGACACTGTGGTTCACCAGAAAACAAGACTACTAGGTTAATGCCAATAGAATGTAGGAATCACATGAAGGAGCTCCCACTGGCCAAAGACTGAACAATTTGAGTATTAAAAAAGAATAAAAATGGGGACGCCTGGGTGGCTCAGTGGTTGAGCATCCACCTTTGGCTCAGGGCGTGATCCTGGGATCTGGGATCGAGTCCCACATTGGGCTCCATGCATGGACCCTGCTTTTCCCTCTACCTAAGTGTCTCTCTCTCTCTGTGTCTCTTATGAATAAATAAATAAATACATAAAATCTTTAAAGAAAATAAAGAATAGTCCCACACGGGCTCCCTCCATGGAGCCTGTTTCTCTTTCTGCCTATGTCTCTGCCTCTCTCTGTGTCTCTCATGAATAAAGGAAATCTTAAAAAAAATAAAAATAATAATAAATAATAAAAAAGAATGAAATTGATTGAACACATTGTTTTTTTTTTTTAAAGATCCATGAGTTTATAATGATTCTCAAGAGGAAAAAAAGTAGAGTCTATTAGAACCTGAAAACTCATTTTTTCCTTTTTTTTTTTTTAGGTTTTATTTATTTATTCATGAGAGGCAGACATAGAGCGTGATGCAAGCTCTTCACAGGGAGCCCGATATGAGACTCAATTCCTGGGCCTGGGATCACACCCTAAGCTGAAGACAGATGTTCAACCACTGAGCCACCCAGGCATCCCTGAAAACTCATCTTTATTTTTTTTTAAGATTTTATTTATTCGAGAGAGGCAGAGGGAGAAACAGGCTCCATGCAGGGAGCCTGATGTGGGACTCGATCCCATGTCTCCAGGATCACGCCCTGGGCGGAAGTTGGAGCTAAACCGCTGAGCCACCTGGGCTGCCTGAAAACTCATCTTTAAAAGGCAATTAGGGGCACCTGGCTGGCTCAACTGGAAGAGCATGTGACTCTTTTTTTTTTTTTTTTATGACAGTCACAGAGAGAGAGAGAGAGGCAGAGACACAGGCAGAGGGAGAAGCAGGCTCCATGCACCGGGAGCCTGACGCGGGATTCGATCCCGGGTCTCCAGGATCGCGCCCTGGGCCAAAGGCAGGCGCTAAACCGCTGCGCCACCCAGGGATCCCAGAGCATGTGACTCTTGATCTCTGAGTCATGGGTTCAAGCCCCACATTAGGTGTATAGATTACTTAAATAAATAAACTTAAAAAAATAAAAGGGAATTAAATATTTTTAGCCTTTCTTGTCAAAATGTATTTCAGAGTAACCAAATGGCCTGGGAATGATTGATTTAAAAAATTACATTTCAAAAAAAAATTACATTTCATAGCCCATAATGAAAGCAAATGAACACAATAGCAAATAAAGAAATGAAGTATAGATGAAATCATTAGATAAAAGTTTATGTGGAACCACATTCACAATTGCAAGGAAAGGCTGTTACCACCTGATCTCACTGATCAGTCATAGCATCCCTAAAATTGGAACAGTGAGCTATTGTGGATATCCTGGTGTGATGCCAACACACATTACTTCCTAGGAAGTTTTCCTGTTCCTCAAATTGAATCTGAGTATAAACAACCCTCTAGATCCAATGTCAATTTACAGGAAATATAAAAGAGAGAGGAACAAGTTAAATGATACCAGGAAGCAGCAGACAAATTCACAAAGTGGGACATTTTACAGGACTACTGACCCAGTTTCTGCAACACATCACTGTCAGGGGAAAACGAAAAGGACAGGGGATCTCCTCTAGAATATGAGAGACTTCCTTGTAAGCTTCGTGTATAGATTTCATATATATTTTGAATTGTATTCTGATGTCTCTTAGACAACCAGAGAAATGTGATCCCAGAATTAAGATAATAAGGGGACTGGTTGATTTTTGTCAGGTGTGAAAATAACACTCCAGTTATGTAAGAAATAAATCTGATTTTTCAGAGCGAAGTATTGAGAAATATAGGGGTGAAAGGACATAAAGTCTGCAGCAGAGAAAGAAAGGGAGATGTGAAGGACATGTGACAGGGTCATGATGATTGTTGAATCCCTGTGATGGGAGTTCATTGTTCTATACTTTGCACTTTTAAGATATCTGAATATTTTCATAACAACAAATTCTAAAGAGGGTTTTTTTTTTTTTTTTTTTTTTTTTTTTTTAGGGCTGCCTGGGTGGCTCAGCTGGTTAGGCGTCTGCATCCCTCTGGGGTCCCGATCTCAGGTCCTGGGATCCAGCCCCACATGGGCCCTGCTCAGCGTTTGGGGGGGGGGGTCTCCATCTCCCTCTCTTCATCCCGCTTCAGTTCTCTGCATGCTCATCTCATTCAAGGAAATAAAATATTTTTAAAAGAGATTTTTTAAAAAGAACCTGTGTGGGAGAGTAGTAAAAGGATAAATACTAGTTTCTCTCCTTGGCAACAGCAAATGTAACCCGTGGGTGGAAGAGAAAATCCTGAGTGTTTTATTAAAGACAGTGTCCTGGGACGGGTTCATTTAGAACCACCGACCGCCCCAGAGCGCCTGTGTGCAGGCCGTGAGCCCAGGGACGTGCTGCAGGGAGCGGGGGATGGGACTCAGCGGCTACGGGCACTCGCGGGATCACATACGTGCCAAGGGTTGTTGTCTCTTAAGTATGGAAATACTTCTCATCTATTAAAAAGAAAATCCTCTAGGGGATAGATAGCCTCAGTTTTTGTGGGAAGAGAATTATCTGGGCTAGTTGAGCCTCGAGAACAGGCGCTCAGCGCAGGAACTCCGCGAGAGCAGCGCTGAGGCCCGCACTAAGGGGATCACTAGACGTGGGGGTGGGCGCAGGGGCTGCGGCGCAGCGGAGCTCACCCGCTACTCCCGCCTCACCCCTCCGGCCCCCGACCCCCTGCCCCAGCCCGCGGGGCCGCACACCCGGTGCACCGAGGGGCCCCCCCGCACCGCCGCCCTCTGCTCCCGCCCTCACCCCAAACCCCCGCGCGTCGCGGTCGGCTCCGGCGCCTCCGACCGAGGACTTGCGCTCCCGCTCGGTTCTGGCTGTGGTCGCAGGCGCGGAGCCTGCTCCGTTGCTGTCCCTCCCTGAGCTCAAGTCATTCATGCTCCTGACCAAACCCGGGAGAAAAAAGGAGAAAAGGAGAAAAAAGGAGAAAGAGCTAATGGACCCTGGCCTCCCAGCCAGAAATACTGGTATTTAAGAGGTCTCCGATGCGCGAGAGTGAGAGCGAGGGCGAGCGCGGGAGCAGGGAGAGGGAGCGGACCCGCAGAGCCGCGAGCTCCACGCGGCTCGACCCCAGGACCCCGGGGCCACGACTCCAGCCGCTCAGGAGCCCCAGAGACACGTTTAGCATTTTCATGGACTTCCTTTCAGCCGTTCTTGCGGACAGAGGTTTTAAGAATCCACCGCCGGGATACCAGAGATGGTCGCCAGAAGCGAATGTCCCCCGTCCTCCCGTGTCCCCTAACACCAGCTGTACCCGGAGGGGTGCAGACCCGTCTTCCTTACGCACTCCATCGCCGCGGTGGGGGCTCGGGGGGACCCCGTCGGGCCCACAGGCACCCAGCGCCCAGGCGGGCTCCGCCGAGGGCCAGTCTCACGCTGGCGGCGCGGGCTCACGGTTTGCGGCTCTCCCGGGGCGCGCCGTTACGCCTTCGGGCTCTGTGACGTCAGCCGCAAGCCCCGCCCCGCGGGCAGGGCGGTCCCGAAGGGCGCGCGCGGGCGGGTGGCCCGCGGGCGGGAGACATGGACGCGGCCCTTCTGGGCGCAGAGGCTCAGGTCCCGCCGCAGCCTCCCGAGGGGTGGCCGCCCGGGAGCTCGGACGAGGAGCTCTACGACTGCCTGGATTACTACTACCTGCGCGACTTCCCGGCCTGCGGGGCCGGGCGCAGCAAGGGTCGGACGCGGAGCGAGCGGGAACTGCGAACCAACTGGCCGGTGCCCGGCGGCCACGAGCGCAAGATCGCGCAGAAGCTCGCCAACGGCCAGCGCAAGCGCCGCCAGCGCCAGCTGCAGCCCAGGGCGCGCCCTCGCCTCCCCTGAGCGCAGGTGCGTGTGGGCGGCCGCCGACCCCGCACCCCGGGAAGCCCGGCTCGCGCCGGCCCCCTGCGGCCGCACCCGGCCCAGCGCCCCCTCCCGAGGCCGCTCTGCGCTGGCCTGGCGCCGCTGGACCCCTAACACCAACGTATCTGGGCTGCGCTTAGAGTAATGTAGAACTACCTTCTGGATTTTGTAGTTGGGAGAAGAGGCTGGGAAACGCAGAAACATCTTTTTAAAAATAGAAGTGGAGAATTTACTTCCAGTGTTTATGCATGGGCTAAAGAGAATTTTCTTTTTGTCAGTTTTCTGCAGGATACCCGAAGGCCTTGATAAAAGTATTTTCTCTGACTCCAGCTGCAACTGGTCGTAAGGAGAAAATCCATGTTGGTCAACATCACTTTTCGACATCGCTTAAGTTTACTTGGTTCAGTATCTTTTCCTTACTGATTGTTAATTAAGTAACATCCAAGTGTCCAAGTGGGTATGCCTTTTTAGGGTTTTTAATTAAAAGCAGCAAGAGTGGCATTTTAATTCTTCTGGTTTTGTTTTTTCCAGTTGCTACGGTAACTCGTTTCCGTTTCAGGTCCAAAAATGAACGAATAAGTTTGTCTTATGCGTAAAGATGAATAGGGGGGGAGAGCAAAGATAGGAATCTGCACAAGATTTCATAGATGTAGTGTGCAGTTTAATATTTTTTTGCCAGAATAGGAATACATTTCGTTGTAATAGTGTGTTTTGAACATTTGCTAGGTTCTCTGCACTGCTGATCTCACAATCCTTTCAGGTGGACGCTGCTACTCTCGTTTTATAGACGGGATTCTACAAAGACCAGTTGTTGCAGATACTCAAAAGTATTCACTCCTTACAGCATCAGTTTTCCTCTACTGTAGGCAATATTCTGTGATTCAGAACCATCCCCAAACTCCATGTTCAACAAGAGTTGAGTTGTGGCTTAAAAATTATACACAGTATGTCAGAGTGGCTGTCCTCTTCAGTCTGCATTCTTTTAGGTCTCTGTGCACAGTAGGGAGTCCCTGGTTAGGAAACAAGAAACGTGGTGCTTACTGGAAGGAGCAACCTGAATTTTAATCCTGTGAGTGTTCATTGCTGTGGCATCCAGCAAACTTCTGAGGTAACTATTTTTAAGTTACACCAAGCCTCAGGCTACTCATTTGTAAAAGGGGAATGATCCTGGATCACCTTACCAAACCGTGGGTTATAGGTTAAACATATAAAACATCTCATACAGTTAAGACCCTGGCACATAAGAGTTACTCAATAAGCTTTTTTAAATTTACAGAACACAACCCCCCTCTTCTATTGTCAAAGTCTTCTATTCTTAAAATGTCTCCAGGTGGTGTGCTCTAGTGGGGGTCCTGGCTCTGGAGTCAAACACCTGTACGAACTTGTACAAGCTGCTTAAACTCCAAGTTATCTGTTTCCATATCTGTAAAATGGGTATAATATAGTACCTATTTAAAGAGTTCTTGTGAGGTGTAAGGAAAGTAATACATGTAAAGCTCTTAGTGCCTAGTATGTAACAGACACATTATTAGTCTATGTGCTGCTGAAGCTAGTGCAGCACTATTAGCAATGTCCCCACTGCCACTGTCTTGCCCTTCAGGATTTTTCCTTTCCCTAACTCTCCTGCTGTGTCTCAGAGGTACTATGTCCAGATTAATCTTCCCAAAAGCTATTTAAACATAAAAACCTTAAATGACTGCTCTAACCTTGTAGGATAAAGAGCCTAGATTTTTATTGTGCTGGAAATCCTCTATTGGATCGTCTTAAACTTTTACAACTTCCAAAAACACACTCTGACTAACACATATCTTCTATCCTCATGTATTCGATTCTGCTGCTTCTTTGGAATCTGTGCTATCCTACTCAGCATGCTCTTTTCTGCTTTACCATTTTAGTCTTTCTAAAACAAATTCCACCTCTACTTATTTTAAGTGCCACTTTCTCTCTGAATCTTTCATCCACAGTGAATATCCATTCCTTTGAAATCCATAGAACTTCATTTAAACACCACCTAACCACTTGTGTATATTGTATTTTGTATTTTGAGAGCAACAGTTAAGAATTCACTCACTGGTTTTCTTTTCTTTCTTTTTTTTGGTCTGGTATGTGCAAGGCTGTATTCATATGTCTTAGTTATCCAAAGGGAAAATTTAAATTGTGTCAGGACCTTAGTGTCTTAAACATGTTTGTACACAATTCTCAATCTGCCACAATCCCAGACAGATAGAAGCCAGGTTAAAGCAACACTCTGTAAGGTGTTCTAACTAGATTTTGCTCACCTTAGATACTAAAACTTTTATAGTTTAAATAAAGTAACTGTAGAAATTCTGCATTAGTTACCTATTGCTGTGTAATAAATTACTCCAAACCCTAGTGGCTGAAAGCAACAAATACTTCTCTTAGTTTCCAGAGGTGAAGAATTCAGAAGTGGCTAACAGGCTGGTTTTGACTTATGGTCATGATGTAGGAGAGGAATTAGGCTCTACTTTTTGAAGGAAGTGTCAGAATCTGTGGACCTACTGTAAACCACCGTGGTATGTTTAATTAGCACAAGTGTGTTCATTTTAAACAAATTGGAAAATATGAACAAGCAAAAAAAAAAAAATCACTATCCAGTAGATAACACCACTATTTAAGTGTACATAGTTCAAGTCTGTAAAATACTATGAACTTTCTCAGAATATAAACATGCTATGTATACTACTTTGTAATCTACTCTTTCACTTAGTATATTGTGAAGACTTTTTATGGCAGGTATTCTTTCATAATATTTAAATAGCTTCATAGCACTTCATCATTTGTATGAATCATGTAATTCTACATTGTAGGACACTTAAGTAATTTATTGATTTTTCCCTATTTTATGCAACTTGTTAAATGAACATCTTAAAGCTAACTTCTTTCCACATTCATGACTGTTTCTTGAATTCTTAGATGTGGGCTTTCTGGAACAGGTTTGCAGAATTTTAAAACTGGTACCTACCACCTGAGTAGAATTTTATTGCAATCATCAGGGATCCATTCATCCAAACATTGGTATCAAATATATGTAACAACGCCTGCCAGAGTTACTTGTTCAGATTTTGATCACTGTATAGGATTTGTTGAAAATGATTAAGAACACTATGGAATGAGAAATTGTTACATAAATTTTATTTTATTTATTTATTTTTTTGTTACATAAATTTTATTAGAGTGATCTTCAGAATGTTTATACTGGACAACTACAAACGATACGTAGCAGTAGTATGAAATCTTTTTCGTTTTTATTAATTTTAATTTTTACGTGTTCTTAATCTGTTTTTGAATAAAGGTAATACATTAACTTTCAAAATCCAAAAGAAAGGGCAGCCGGGGTGGCTCAGCGGTTCAGCGCCGCCTTCAGCCCAGGACATGATCCTGGAGACATGGGATCGAGACCCATGTCAGGATTCCTGCAGGGAGCCTGCTTCTCCCTTTGCCTGTGTCTTTGCACCCCCCCTCCCACCGTGTCTCTCATTAATAAATAAATAAATAAATAAATAAATAAATAAATAAATAAATAAATAAATAAATAAAATATTTAAGAAAAAAATCCAAAAGATAGAAAGTGTTTTCAGTAAAAGTCCCCCCTTGGGCCACACTCACTCTACTACTGCCTCACGGTTAACAGCTGCAGATATTTCGTGCATATTGTCTTCTCTCCAAGCACACTGCACCCATTCTGCCCTTCTTTCTCTTGACAGTTTATCATCATATCTTTCATAATAATATAGTTTATTCCTTTTTATAGCTGTATATTGTGTGCTGCGCCTTTTTAAAAAATTTGTATTCTACTGACAAGAATTTGTTTCCAATCTTTTACTATGACAAAATAATCTTGCACAAATATCTAATATTCTCTCCTCGGAGTGGGAATTCATAACTTAGCCAGGTGTGATTAAAATCGTTTCTGTTGGGATCCCTGGGTGGCGCAGCGGTTTGGCGCCTGCCTTTGGCCCAGGGCGCGATCCTGGAGACCCGGGATCGAGTCCCACGTCGGGCTCCCGGTGCATGGAGCCTGCTTCTCCCTCTGCCTGTGTCTCTGCCTCTCTCTCTCTCTCTCTCTCTATCATAAATAAAAAAAAAATTTAAAATCGTCTCTGTTATGGACGTTCATTCTGAGCGCTTGTGCCAGGATGTCCTTATAAGGCTCCTTTCCTCCGTCTCTGCTTATGAATTCTCCAGAGAAATGCCACGTCATTTGTAAAGCTTTCATTAAGTTCTGTGAAAATAAAACTTTTTCATGACAGGTCTTTGGATCATTTACCCTTCGACTCCACGAACATTCTGCTGTTACTGGAGAGAACGCGTTAAACTCCGCGACCTCAGGCGGAAGGGGAAAATTTCTCTGCGACGTGCAAGCCGAAAGGGAGGGAACACCTCCGCGCTCTCCCCTCGCCCCTGGAGCCCTCCCGGGAGCGCCCCGAGCCAGCTCTTCCGCTCCGGAGGCGCGCGGACAGGTCCCAGGGGCCCCGCTCCCTCCACCCGCCGTGCCCAGCGCTGGTGCGAGCACGTCCCCGGGGGCCTCACGCCCGGTCTCGCCCACCCTGCCGAGGCTGCCCGTCACCGCGGCTCGGGGTGTGTAGGCTGTCGTGTGTCCCCTCCTGACCGAAAGTCCACGAAGAAAGAGTCTCGTTGGAGCGAGTGCCCTGTCTCCAGAACGGAGCCGGCGCCCGGACATCATTCACTACACTTTTTATTATCAGTGAACGAACACTACCCCAATGGCGGGCACAAGCTCTATGGTACGCACGAAAAGGGCCTGGAAAGGCAGAGTAACAACGGTAAGGCATTATTACAGCCTGAGTCCGCAGATAAAGTAAAAATGGGATCACCTCAGCTCCGCGGATCCTGCCTAACGCATCCGGTTTCCTCCGTCCCGTTCACACCATGTGCCCACATGGTGCCTCAAAAGATCCTTACCCAAAGAAGTAACTTAATGCTGAGGAAAGTTAACCAAGGCCGGTGGCAGCCGCGCCGACACCGACCTCCCTCTCAGGGCTGGCTTCGTCCCCCCGTCACTAATAGAAACGTCGGCGGAAAGCAGCGACGCTTTTAAGCAAAAAAGCGTTTTCCCGCTGGGCTGGGAAAACAGGCGCGCGGGGCACCTTCAGGCCTTCCGGTCTCCTGGGGCAGCCTGGCGCGGAGCTCATGACGCACGCCGCGTCCAACCAGGCGCCGGCGTGACGCGTGCTCTTCCGGTGACCTTCAGGGCCTGCGGAGACGTAGGCGCGCGAGGCCTCTGCCCGTGCGCTGATTGGTCGCACGCCGAGGCCAGTCCCACCCCCTGTTTTCCGGTCTCTGGCTCCTGCCGAAGCCTCCGGGGTCTTCGCCGAGTGTCGGGCTTCTGGGCGCCGTGCTCCTGTCCCAGTAGACATGCCGCGTGGAAGCCGGAGCCGCGCCTCCCGCATGGCTCCTCCGGCCAGGTGAGGCAGTTGAGGGGTCTGGGGCCCTGCCGACGCCGTGACGCATGCGGAGGCCGGGCGGAGGCTGGTGGAGGCCGCGGAGGGGGCGGCGGGGCGGCGGAGTGCGGGCGCCGGCCGAGGGCGGGTACCGGTGTGAGGTGGGCATCGTGACTGGGCTTTGGCCACATTTCCCGTTAGTGGCAAACTTTCTGATTTCGAATACCCGTGAGTTCTTAAAATATTCGAGAGCTCATTTAAAAAATGCTTTACGTTTATTGAAGTGAGCTCTGCACCCGGCGTGGGGCTGGCGTCATATCCTGGAAATAAATGAGTATTTTTAAGGGCCAACCGGCCAAAGCTTCTGAAGTAAATAAAAAAACAAAACGAGTGTCGGTGAAAGGTAGTATAATGGGGAGAATGATTGCATTTCAGTAAACAGGGTAACCTGCGAGCCCACAGAGAGCGGTCCAGAGGCTCGGCCCAGCGACCGAAGCCTCCTTGTACACGACATCGTCTAATTCGTAAAACACTTTAGAAATATACTGGTAGGGACCCCTGGGTGGCGCAGCGGTTTGGCGCCTGCCTTTGGCCCAGGGCGCGATCCTGGAGACCCGGGATCGAGTCCCGCGTCGGGCTCCCGGTGCATGGAGCCTGCTTCTCCCTCTGCCTGTGTCTCTGCCTCTCTCTCTCTCTGTGACTATCATAAATTAAAAAAAAAAAAAAAAGAAAAAGAAATATACTGGTAGTTACACTTTAACACCTGTAACCTTAGGGATAGATGTTATTCTTGTTTTCCAGGAATAAGGAAACTGGAACCTCGGAACAAGTGACTTGTCCGAGGTCACCCTACCAGTAAATAGGAAAGCCAGGTCTGGCCCAAGTCTTCCAACAACCGGTTAGGGTGTTAAACACAGGACCACGTTGCTTCTCTGGAGTGAGGTGGATTGTGTTCAGACTGTATGCTAGGACTGTAGGACAGTCCTTCACTTAAGGGAAAGAAGCTGTTTTCCAGAGGTCAGAAAAGCCAAATGTTTATAAAGTGATGCCAGATACCACCTGATTGGAAGCAAAGTCATAAATTTCCAACCTAGGGGCAGCCCGGGTGGCTCAGCCGCTTAATGCCGCCTTCAGTCCAGGGCCTGATTCTGGACCCCCAGGATTGACCCCCTGTTGGGCTCCCTGCATGGAGCCTGCTTCTCCCTGTGCCTGTGCCTCTCTCTCTCTCTCTCTCTGTCTCTCTCTGTGTCTCTCATGAATAAATAAATAAAATCTTAAAAAAATAAACTTCCAACCTAGCCTTATTTGGGGGAAGAGCACCCAAGGAAACAGTCTAAAAATGGCCAGAGGGGACATCATGTGTGAAGACTTCTTCTAAAGCAGGACTGGACATTAGTGAAAGCCTCTAGCTGGAAGCCTTACCAATAACATAAAGTCACTTAACACGTATTTTGTATATACAATACTGTATTCTTAGAATAAAATAAGCTAAAGAAAAGGTTACTGAGAAATCATAAGAGAAAGCACACACAATACCTATACTGTGTTTACTGAAAAAAAAATCCACACATACTGGACTCATGCAGTTCAAACCTGTGTTGTGTGAACAGTACAGTTTCTTTAGATTGACAGTTTCCAAGCCTGGTAGGAAGTGGGCACTTTCATGCTTTTTGTTCTTTTCTTTCTTAGCCGGGCACCTCAGATGAGAGCTGCGCCTAGACCAGCGCCAGCCGCTCAGCCGCCAGCAGCAGCTCCGCCATCTGCTGTTGGCTCACCTGCTGCACCCCGGCAGCCAGGTCTCATGGCCCAGATGGCAACCACTGCAGCTGGCGTGGCTGTAGGCTCTGCTGTAGGGCACACGATTGGGCATGCCATTACTGGAGGCTTTGGTGGAGGAAGTAACACTGAGCCTTCAAGGCCCGACATCACTTACCAGGTAAGATTTTGGGCAGTGTTTTCTTTCATTGGGTAGGTTACAAGAAAACCTAGTTATTTGTCAGTTCCTTATGTATAGGAGCTGTGAATCCATGGTCCTCCTAACAGAAAATGGTTTGTCAGAAGCCATGTTTGGCAGTTGAGTTAGTGCTTTAGACCAGCATCAAGTACTGTCCACATTGTATTTTTTCCCAAGGAGTAGAATAGCAGTTCAACCTGATTGATTGTAGAACAGCCATTTTCCCCTTATTTTAAATTTAGTTTCAATCTTAAGTATTGAAAAACCTCTTTAGTAGCTTTAGTAGAGCTCTCTGACCTCATCTGGTATTTGTCACTGCCCCTCTTTCTGAAGTATGTGAATTTTTTCCTCTGATGAGCCTCAGTGTGTACTCTGTTGTATTTCTGGTTATTTGACATGCTTATCCATCTATTTTTCTATTATAGTCCCACTTTCTCCTCTGAACTACATTGAACCCCACTGGTATTTAGATACGCATGTAACCATTTCACTGTATTTGCATCTTTGTTCTTGAATCTTTCTGATTTTACCTGGAATTTTGTTAAAGCCTATTTGCTCTGCCTTTAAAATTTCTCACTTTCCATGTTTTTAGATAGTAACTTTAATTTGCATTTGGTTCTAATTATGTTTCCTCAGTTGACCTCAAAGACATTGGGTACTGTTCTTTGTTCAGGTGTAAATCTAATTTCTCAATGGTCCTGAATGTTATGCCTTTGCAGGAGCCTCAGGGAACCCAGCCAGCATACCAGCAGCAGTTTGGCCCATGCCACTACGAGATGAAACAGTTCCTGGAGTGTGCCCAGAACCAGGGTGACCTAAAGCTTTGTGAAGGTTTCAGTGAGGTGCTGAAACAGTGCAGATTTGCAAATGGTAGGTAGATCGAGCATCTGCTCAGTTCAGAGCAGGGTGCTCCTGGCCCTATAGAGCTTTGGGAGTCTTTGTTTATTAAATTAAACTGACAAGTTAGAGGAGATTTTGGTTACGTTCTATAAGTAATCTAGTTCTTCTAACAAAGGCCTGGTCCAGAGGTTTCTGGTCATTATATTAAGCTTTTACCAGTTATGTTGTGTATCTGATTTTTCCTCAGTCGAGGTTAGTGTACCAGGTCTTGTTCTGTTTATAGGATGTGGGTGATCTGGCCACAAAGCTGTGAATGTAAGATTACATTCCATTTTCAACAAAGTCCAGGATTGGATATAAAGACTGATAAGTTATTGATGCTTTTCACACCTTATTTGAGAGAAGAGTTTATGCAGTTCCTCAGTGGAATTCTGAGATTTGGGAACACTGGAATGTTGGTAGTGAACTTGTTTTTATGTAATTTCCTCCTATTGCCCTAAAAATTCACAATTTATAAAATGCTCATTTTCATTTTCCCACCTTCATTTAGGTACGAAACTGATAACCTAGGCTTTCACCCCTCCTTTTACCATATGGAGGGCTTCTGCTTTGCTAAGAATATACAGCTATTGCTCTTCTGACTTACCTTTTCTGACTTACTTTTCTCTTTGCAGGATTAGCCTAATCAAGAAGTTCAAATTGGAAGATATGGAAAATCCTCTCTCAAGACCAAGTTAATTTAGCATAAAAATATAATTAATACAGAAGATATAAAGTGTAAAACCACCAGTTAAACCTCTCCTTCATCATTAAATACAGCTTTCTTCAGAATTGTTAATGAAAGAGGGTATTTTTAGTGTAGAAGTTTATTGAGATGGTTTGAGTTGGGGGCTGGGCAGATGTTTGTGTGCCTCCTTAAATCACCTTTTGTGACATTATCATTTATGAATTAATTAGAATAAAGTGATTTTCTCCCAAAATAGTGTCTTTGAAGTGTAGGATTATGAAGTAGATATGGTATATGCATGCTGAACATATGCATTTTGCAAAAGAACCCAATTTTCTCAGCATGTCTCGAAGTCTGTTTTATAGTCAATATATTAAATTGGCATCCACCTGGAGGATCTGACGGGGCTCCCTGAGGAGCTTTTGTAGAAAAGTAAGGAAGTAGCTCACTAGCAAGCATAGTGCTCGTTTAAAAGGCTCCAGTTGGAAGGCTAGTGTTTGGTAAACTGAGCGGTAACCAGAAACTTTTAAATACTGTTACTAATCAAGTGAGTGGTAAAGGAAGTACTGGACTAGACCATGACATGAGTGAGTTCATGGCCGGGTCAGCACCACGTGTCACTGCCCTGACCAGTTAATTGGATTAATTGCTCAGAGATGAAAACCACTCTCAATACAGGCACAGTTGCCTGCAAATGTTTTTCTTCTATGTAAGGCATTGTAGCTCCCCTTTCCTGAAAGACTCATGCAGGGCCCACTCCATGTTGTCTTAAGGAGATGGACTCCGTTTGGGGTGTGCATCATTTTTTAAAAACCCAGCTCCATTCCTCACAACTCAAAAAGAAATGTCATTCACTTCTGGAAGATGATCTTAAGTCTACCTTGTGCTCTGCCCTTTTTCTTTTTTCAAAAGTATGTTTCTGAGGCTGGTTTCTTTTCCAATCTCTTGAGTTTCAGAGACCTGTGTTACTGCAAAGTGAGTCAAGTGCTATTTAGTGAGTAGATTTTTCAGTTGCTGCCTCTCATCCTCAGCTGTGTTCTTAGAGTGCCCCAACTTTTGAGTTCCTGAAGGGCCAAGACCACCTTGCTTTGAATCACCATGTTCCATTCACTCCCAGCAAATCCCCCAGCACATTCCCTTCTGGATTTCTGTGAAAGCTCAGGACTTGTAAGTTCATAGCCTTAGTGCCCCTCTGTCCAAGGTATGATGGTATAGGGTGGGTACATGTATTGTTGAATCGGTGGGTCAAGAGAAAATGGAGCACCTGCCTGTCTCAGTGACTTGACTGAAGAGACAAGTATGTGACTCTTGATCTTGGGGTCAAGAGCCCACATTGAGCATAGAGTTTACATTTAAAAAAAATAAACAGCCGTCAAAAAGAATGAAATCTTGCCATTTGCAACAACATGGAATTAGAGGGCATTATGCTAAGCAAAATAAGAGAAATAGATTATTTCACTCGTGTGGAATTTAAGAAAATAGATGAATATAGGAGAAAGGAAAAATAAAACGAGGCAAACCATGAAGAACTCTTAAACTATAGGGAACAAACGGTTGCTGGAGGGGAGGTGGGTGAGGGGTTGGGGTAACTGGGTGATGGGCATTAAGGAGGGCACTTGAAGTAATGACCACTGGATATTAATATACAACTGATAAATCACTGAATTCTGCCTCTGAAACTACTACAGAATATGAAAATTGAATTTAAATAGAAAAGGTAAAAAAAGGCACCTGGGTGGCTCAGTGATTGAGCATCTGTCTTCGGGTCAGGTCGTGATTCCAAGGTCCTAGGATCGAGTCCTGCATTGGGCTCCTTGCAGGGAGCCTCCCTTCGCTTGTGTCTCTGCTTCTCTCTGTATCTCATGAATAAATAATATTTTTTTTAAAAAAAGTTAAAGGAAAATTAACTGCTGACATCAAAAAAATGCAAGTCTGGCTGGCCTGTCCCCTTCCTGGTGGAAGCCATGGCTACACGGAGACAGGCACGGAATTATCCACTTAAGGGCACTGGCCTTTTGCCCTGAGGTCAGAAGGGATTTTGTTAAACATCGGAAGTATAAAGCACAAGTCAAGTCTATAGCTTAGCATCAGGACAACAAAAGGGAGAGGGAGCTTAGTGACAGAAGTGAAAGGAGGAGATTGTTTCATCACTGGAGGCAGATGTTGCATCTCAGCAGAGGCCTTTGTGCATAGGCCCAAGTCATCCCCAACTTCTGTCCATGTAGCAATCCAGCAAATTACCTCCCCAGAGTAGAAATAGATCGTCAGCATGAATAATGGAAAGAGCTGTTGGGCCCACACCTGGGCTTAGTCTAGGCCCTTCTACTCCCCTATTCGGTGACCTTGAGCAAGTCAAATTCTCTTTCAAATGGGCTTAATATCAGAGTTTTGGGGTACAAGTGAAAATGTGCAAGTGCTTTGTGAAATGCTAATCAAATGGGTGCTTGTGGGCTTAGACTATCTGAAGCACTGCATTATCCCTCCATTTATATTAGAATTAGGGGTTTGGAAAAAAGTGGCTTTACAATGAGAGCAATAAGCAAGTGTCTACTGGGCCAGTGTGTTACATACATTATTTCCAATGTCTACCTCTTAAGGTAGAATCCTAGTGATAAGGACCCTCACTCAAAGAGCCCAAAGGTGTACACCGTCTGAGCCCATATGCTTTTCCTGGCACCCAGAGCAACTCCCAGTAGCCCACAGGCTGAAAACCAGATGGGTTAAGGATGAAAATATGGAAGCAGTTCAGAGATGAATTCCTAATGGGGATGTTCCCTAACCTTTAAGGCCTGCATTTTGCAGGTCAGCCTCACAAACTCTTCCTGAGTGGGCACCAATGTCTGGGTCCCTGTGGCAGCCAGGGCTGCACTGTGGGTGTGTCTGTGCTGGGCTTTCTCCAGGGGCCTGCTTTCAAATATGCAGAAATGGCTCCCAGAAAAGTGAATGCATTTCCACCATGGCTAGCTTTGTCTCCTCTAGGCCTGGAGACAAAGGGAGCTCCAGAGGGAAGACTGGTCACCTCTTGCTGTCCTGTGGGCTCCCAGGCCACCGAGTTTCCCTCACCCTCCAGCAGAGGTCACCTCCTGGTGAGACTTGGCCCCCATGAGCCTTGGCCTGCATCCCAGGTCTGCAGTTGTGGTTTATTTCTGGTACGTCAGGCTTCCGTCATCAAGAAGCAGAGCCTGAAGGACGAGCAGCAAAATATTCTGCTGTGGCCAAGAGTGTCTGCTGGGGACCTGCTTCAGCCCTTGGCCTGTCCCCTCTCATCAAGGGGCTCTGAGGCCTTTGGGATTCCTGCCACATTCACTCAAGGGCCTGTGAGGATCAAACAGTGAGTAGCCGGGCCAGTGATGGACAAGAGCCAAGCAACAGGCAGAGAGGGAGAGGCTTTGCGGCAGGGAAGACAGGCCCCAAAAGCCGTTAGAACCATGTTTCCCTTCAGAAGCAGCAGGATGGAGAGTGACAGCGCTGACTCTGGAAGCCCCCTCGGGATGTCCGCCCACAGAAAGGGGGTTCCTTGTGTTTTAAGGCTGAGTTTGGGGGAGGGATGCTTTGTTCCAAAAGGACCAGGTTACCTATTCCCATTTGGGGACCCTTTCCACAGGAGTCTTGGGGAAGGTGCAGGAGTGTGTTTGTGTGTGGGGGCAATGACAGGGGCCCAAAGTTGGCCCCACATGGGGCTTAGAGCAGGGGGGATGGCTGCCTGCCTCACCGCAGGAGAGCAGAGAGCAGCAAGAGGCCTCTGAAGCTCTGTCATGCCAGGGAATGGAGGCCCCGGCCTGGAAGACTTCCTGGGGGGGGTCCAATCCAGATGAACCCTCTGCCCTAAGGGGGCTGGGGAAGTGGAGAGACCATGGGTTACCAAGTACTGGGAGGTGCGGGGTACAGATGCCCATCTTGGGGACTTAAAAGGATTTGCAAGGCAATGGGCTTGTTTTTATAGGAACAGATACTTCTGTGCTCGGTTGGGGCTGGCGACTGGGAAGCCTGTGAGCAGCCAGGCGCCCGCTGTTGGCAGAGGACACTGTTGTTATTCTAATTCTTCCTCTGGTAACCAGGCACCTGGCAGTGGGGACACCAGGCTTCTGGAACAGCTAGCCCCACTTGGCTGGTCAGCAAATTGGCCCCTTGGACAGGCTCGGCCTTCCTGGGTCCAGAAAGGGTCGTAGAAGAGGGGCTAGAGGCAGTGTTGGTCCTGCTGGGTATTGGCTTGTGCCCATTTTTCTGTGTGCCCCTCTTCCTGTCAGTAGATGTCTTCTCTGTCCCTCAAATCCTGTATCTGAGGTGGGAGTTTAGTACTCTGCTGGCCTCTACCCCTGAGGCAAAGCCAGCCAGCTCAGCTCCTCTATCCAGGCGTGAGTATCCTGGATTTGGACTGCCCCACATTGGGGCAGGACCCCTCACTGACCATCATCTGGTATGACACGGGCATTCTGAGGACAGGCCCATCCTGCTGTTGGGACCCTGAACCAAGGGGATACCTCCAACCATTGACTCACATCCAGGGAGCAGCACTGGGCACAGGGGAAGGAAGGCTGGGACATCCCAGAGATCAGTCTAATGGAGGAGGTGACATCATACACTGGCAGGGGATACCAGAGTCTGGGACCACTGGGCTCCACATCTCTCTGAGCGCCTGGCAGCGTGCTTCTCAAAGAATATGAAAGGGGGGATCCCTGGGTGGCGCAGCGGTTTGGCGCCTGCCTTTGGCCCAGGGCGTGATCCTGGAGACCCGGAATCGAATCCCACGTTGGGCTCCCGGTACACGGAGCCTGCTTCTCCCTCTGCCTATGTCTCTGCCTCTCTCTCTCTCTCTCTCTCTCTGTGTGTGTGTGTGTGTGACTATCATAAATAAATAAAAATTTAAAAAAAGAATATGAAAGAAAGAAAGGAAAGCAGAGGAAGAGAGAGGGAAGGAGGGACAGAAGCAGGCCAGCAGCAAGGGAGGTAGAAGGAAGGTGAGAAAAGTCTGCTAAGGGCACAGTGAGTACGGAAGGACAGTGGGAAGCCCTGAAGTGTGTCCTGGAAGGATGGGTGCTTTCAGGGGAGGATAGCTAGGTTGCGGGAGCTAAGGAGAGGCTATAGGAGTGCCCTAGTAAGAAAAGGAAATCAGGAAGCTTCTCATCTTTCCCCAAGTGCTGGGAACAAGCAGGGGAAAAGCAGGACCAGCCTCATCTCCAAGAGAGGGAACAGCCCTTTAATTTGTCCTCTGCAAAGTTTCTCTGGGGTTCTATCTAAAACCAAGGGTATGCCAGCCAAGTCAGAGCTAATCAGTTGAGCTAATGGCCCAACCTCCTGCCTCTGTCTGCTGTTTCTACTAGAGGAGAACGTTGAGGGAGCTACATGGCAGCCTGGGGGTCACAAAGTTTACAACCAGTGAGACGATACAAGCTGGGCTCTTTCCAAAGAGTTTTTCAATTCACACTTATTTTGAACATTAGGCTTGTTCTGTGCCAGGGGATACAGATGAGGAAAGGTTCCAGCCTCAAAAAGTACACCACCTACATCAGGATGGCTAACAGCTTCTTCCCTTTTTAAATTTTTTAACTTAAAACTCAATTTAGTTAACATATAGGGTATTACTAGTTTCAGGGGTAGAATTTAGTTGACAGCTTTTTTCTATTTCCCCCTCCGAACCCCTTAGAGTTGCCCCCAAGTTGTGGAGCATGACTCGGGACGAGGCACTGCCAGACTCGTACTCAGCACAGGGCTTCTATGAAAACTATGAGCCCAAGGAGATCCTGGGCAGGTAAGGCCCAGACCTTCCCCAGGAGGTGCTGTCCTGGGCTCCAGCCAGTTCCATGGGCCTGAGCACTGACCCTTTTCCATCCCCAACACACTGTCCACTTGGAGAAACCTTTAGTTTGGGATCCTGCCCTCCTGAACCAAGACAGATGAGAACAGTATGAAAGCACCCAGACAAGAGACTTCTCCCAACTGAGCTCTCTCAGTGCTGTTGACAAGCACATCCAAACCCAGGTTTGTGCTAGCATCAGAGGTCAGGGGTCAGAAGGAAGATTATGGCCTTAGGTGCTGAGAAACAGCACTGAATTAGGAGTCAAGAGTTCTAAGACCAGGCTTGCTACTCATCAGCTCCAGACAAATCACCCTCTGTTTGCCTTCTTCATCCTACTATCCTATCCCCAAAAGCTCACAGGGAGTTGGTGGATAAGGCAGGACATCTCTGTTGTGGCTTGGATCTGGGATTCTCCCTGGGGTGAGGGGCCCCTGGGACCACCTGTCCTCTGCACCCCCAGAGGAGTTAGCAGCGTCGTCAGGCGCTGCATCCACAAGCCCACGTGCCAGGAGTATGCTGTGAAGATCATTGACATCACTGGCGGAGGCAGCTTCAGCTCTGCGGAGGTCCAGGAGCTGCGAGAGGCCACGCTGAAGGAGGTGGACATCCTGCGCAAGGTCTCTGGGCTCCCCAACATCAGTGAGTAATGGCCCTAGGCCCCAGCAGGCTGCTCCAAGATTCCGCTCTAACCACCCATGTCAGGGAGTGCGGCCCCACTGTGCAGCCAACCAGAACCACCAGAGTCTCCTGCCCTGAGACCCTGCCAGCCCAATGTCCCAAGGTGTGAGGTTCCCAGCTCCATGCCTACCTTGGGGGAGATTTAGGTCTGAGCTTCCTCTTCCAGCCAGACAGAGGGGTTGCAGGCAGTCTGGAGCTGGTTGCAGCTTGGGGAATGGGAATGTGAAGTCCCGGGCCAGCCCCTCCCTTTGTGGGCCTCCGTTGGACACCATTCTGATATCCCTTCCAACTTTTTTTTTAAGATTTTATTTTATTATTTATTCATGAGAGACAGAGACAGAGAGAAAGAGAGAGAGAGAGAGAGAGAGAGAGAGAGGCAGAGAGAGAGGCAGAGACACAGGCAGAGGGAGAAGCAGGCCCCATGCAGGGAGCCCGACGTGGGACTCGATCCCGGGTCTCCAGGATCACGCCCTAGGCCGAAGGCGGCGCTAGACCGCTGAGCCACCCAGGGATCCCCCTTCCAGCTTTTGAAGTCAGTCCAAGCAGCTTTAATCCTGTTGCCCCCGTACCCTTGCTGCCTCTGCCCAGGGTGTGTTGCTATCTGAGACGAATTAGTCATTTCCATTTCAGTACAGCTGAAGGACACTTATGAGACCAACACTTTCTTCTTCCTGGTGTTTGATCTGTAAGTACCCAGCCCTGGAGCCAGCCACACCCTGGGGCCTGTTGGAGAATGTCCTCTGGTGGTTCCCTATCCAGTGCTTCCTGAAGACCAGCGGCACATAGGATCACCACTGCCTAGGCAGATCAGCCCTGGGGATCAGGCTGCCAGGTCTTGAACCCTGGGTCCATCACTCAGAAGCCAGATGCTTTAAGTATCTGTTTTCTCATGGGTATTAGAGAATAGCACAGCAAATGGCATGACATAAATGCTATTATTAACTACAATGGTGACAAAGGTACTCATTCAATACTCAGCCTAGACATTGAGGATACAGCAATAAACAAGACATATATGGTCCCTGACTTCATGTAACAATTTTCAGAAAGTGAACAGAAAGCAGTAAAATAAGCCATAATACACCCACACAGTTATGTGCATGTACAGATACATAAAGCAGAGCAGGGGTTAGAGAGAGGTAGGGCTTCTCTAGATGGAGCGAGCATTCTGGAATGCTTTCCAGAAGGACCTGAGCACAAACTCAGATGAAGTGAGGGAGGGATCAGAGCCAAGACCTGGAAAAGGCACGGCAGAAGGGCAGAAGGAAGAGCCAGAGCAAAGGCCCTGCTGGATGGGCTTCGCATATTACAGGCTTGGCAAGGAAGCCAGGTGGGGGAGTGGAGCAAGCCTGTGGCACTGGCCAAATGTGAGGTCAGGCTATACTGAAAACCAGCTTTTGCAGGCTTGTTAGCCATGGTAAGGACTTTGCGGGGTGTGGTGTGTGAGAGCAGGAGGATGATGGGATCTGATTTACTTTTGAAGAGCATCCTACTGACTGTAAGGAGGCAAGAGTGGAAAGGGGGAGGCCTGTGGTATTGAGGCAAGAGGCCCCCAGAGGCAGTGGTAAAGGTTGTATTTGGGGTGTGGCCCAAAGATTGACAGCATCCCTTTGCACCAATAGGGCTCACAAGAGGAGCTCCTTGTCATGGGGCCCCTTGCCCACAGAACGCCTTTTAGCTCTGAGAGCTTGTTTTCTCAGGAATAGAAAAATGATACCATCCATTCTATCTTCCTAGGCTCTAAGCATTAAATTTTAACACCACAAAGTGCTCTGTGAACAATGTGTTCAGACTTTTTATTAGAAAAGGTTTCCAGCGAAGGGAGTTCTTCAGTTCTTTGTTCACCCACACCACTGAGTCCTGAGTCCTCACTGAAGAATGTAAATCTCTCTGCTGCATGAATCATGGTTATGGGGGTGTCTTGATTTGTCCGTATATAACAGCTAAATTAGGGACTAGATTATACTTGAGAAAATCATTCAAGGAGACTTTGTGTTGATAGAACCTTTAATACTGTAGCCATACTGAATATGCACAGGGTTATTATACTTGGAGGCACGATGTAACTTGGTCTGTGTGTACAATCCTGCCAGCTCAGCTCTGGGAAGGCAGCAGCTGGGTGCACCCTGCACAGTACCCAGTGTTGACTAGTAAATTTTTTCACTGCTGCTAACAATGACTTCTCCTAGCGTCTTTAGAATGGAATTTGAGTGACAAAAACTGGATTTACACACTTGTCTTTTAGGAACACAGTACAGATATTTTTTTATTTTTAAATAATTTATTTATTCATGAGAGACACAGAGAGAGAAAGAGAGAGAGGCAGAGACACAAGCAGAGGGAGAAGCAGGCCCCATGCAGGGAGCCTGATGTGGGACTCCATCCCGGGACTCTAGGATCATTACCTGGGCCGAAGGCAGGCGCTAAAACCACTGAGCCACCCAGGGATCTCCCACAGTAGAGATATTGTGTAAGGCTCACCTCTAAAAATTCTAGGTTATCTTCTCACACAGAAACCCCCCTTCCCACCCCACCAGCTGAGCTCAAGGGCTTTCTTGCCTCTATGCCCCTGGCCCAAACCCTTGTGCCTTAGAAATCCTACTGCTTTCCTGGAGGAGTGGGTGGGAGGGGGCAGGATGCACTTTTCCTTTTTAACCAGGGGAGACTTTCCTAGGACCCCCAAGACTTAACCAGCCACAGCTGTCCCCTCAGTAGCACTGTTGTGTAGAGCCCTTGGGGGCAGCTCAAATATCCCTAACCTTTGAAGAAGTTGCTTGGGGAAGCTATTTTTAATGTTGCCCCGAGTTGCCCTTGAGGGTATAACTAGGTTGTTCTAACAGGCACCTCTTTCTACATCATCCCAAGAAGTGAGAAGATTGAACTGTAATTCTTAATCCTAAAAGGAGCAAGCTTTGCTCCTCCAGCACTTGCACTATTGCTTCTACCATTCATTGCTGGGAAAAATCAAGTGTATCCTCCTGTCCTCGTGATCCGGATCTGGAGCCTTGGGTCCGTGGCTCTGGGTCCCTCTTTCATGTCCCAGCCCTGATGTTGACCCTGACAGATCCCAGTCCATGCCGTCACTTCCACAGATGGGAGAACCCCCAGACAGGTGCCATCTCACCCTTTGAGCATCCTTGCTCTTCTAATCTTCCTAGACAACCTCTAAACTCACTTCCTTGGCTTTTCCCAGAAGCCTTTGGTCCTTCGTGGGGGAGTGTTCTACTTTGTTTCTGGAGATAGGAGGGCAGGAAACAGGTCTCTGGGAGCAGGGTAAGGAGGGGGTGGTCTTGGGACCAACCCAGCTACAAACCCTCTGTCCCTACAGGATGAAGAGAGGGGAGCTCTTTGATTATCTCACTGAGAAGGTCACTCTGAGTGAGAAGGAAACCAGGTAGGGATCCATCTGCTCCCATGGCCATTCCCTGCCCCAGAGTACCAGTGGTACTGCCACCAAAGTCTTAGAGGGGGCATAGCATGCATTTGTCTGGGGTGGGGGTGTGCACTGCAGGCTTCTATATTCCCCTCCGCCCTTCCCCCACTTGTCCTGAGTCCTCCCTCACTGGCAGTCTCACAGGTATATGGGCTTTGGTCTCTGCTGAGGAGGAGATAAGAATAACACGTGCCTGTCCCACCACAGAAAGATCATGAGAGCCCTGCTGGAGGTTATCCGCAACTTGCACAAACTCAACATTGTGCATCGGGATCTGAAGCCTGAGAATATCCTCTTGGATGATGACATGAACATTAAGCTCACAGACTTTGGTTTTTCCTGCCAGCTGGAGCCAGGAGAGAAGCTGCGAGGTCTGGTTACATGGCCTCGGCCTATTTCAGGGGCTCAGGCTTTCTCATCCGTGGTCCCAGGAACAGAAAATGCCTGCATTCCTCCCCTAACTCCCCACCCCCTGAATATAAATCCTACTGTTTCAGGCTGTCTCTTCAGGTAAGCCTCTTTCCAGGGCTGAGCCAGGTTCCCACTGCTTGACTTCCAGGCCAGGACACAACAGGTCCAGGCAGGTGGTCCTAGAAGCCAGCCCCCAGCCCCTGCCCTTGGCCCTTAAGTCGGTCAGGGTTAGAAGAGTTGCTGCCCAAGCACCATGTCACTTTCATCTCCATTTTGTCCTTTGGACTGTCCTGTTCCAAGTGCCCCCTGCTGACCTATCCTGATGTAACTGTTCCTGCAGAGGTCTGTGGGACTCCCAGCTACCTGGCCCCTGAGATCATTGAGTGCTCCATGAATGATGACCACCCAGGCTATGGGAAGGAGGTGGACATGTGAGTGTGTTGGGCAAGGCAGTGACCCCTGGGCACAGGGATGCCCCCCCATGTCTAGGAGCACCTGCTGGGGAGGGGAGGACATGGCAGGAGCTGCAGCCAGCCCTCCTGCCTTCCTCCGTCCACCTGGCACCAGGTGGAGCACAGGGGTCATCATGTACACCCTGCTGGCCGGCTCCCCACCCTTTTGGCACCGGAAACAGATGCTGATGCTGAGGATGATCATGAGTGGCAACTACCAGTTTGGCTCACCTGAATGGGATGACTATTCAGACACTGTGAAGGATTTGGTGAGAGGCCAGGGCTCCTGGCTCCTGCCTAGGCAAGGGGAAGTTCATGATGGGGTGGGGTGGAGGCACATTGTACTACAAAATGGAGGACCCTCTGGGAAGACCTTGTCTTCTCAGGTGTTGGAGGAGACCCTGCCTTGATGTTTTGGGCTCCCCCTCCTTATTCTCTCAGGTTTCCCGTTTCTTGGTGGTGAACCCCCAGGGCCGCTGTTCTGCAGAAGAGGCCTTAGCGCATCCCTTCTTCCAGCAGTATGTGGTGGAAGAAGTGCGTCACTTTAGCCCCCGGGGCAAGTTCAAGGTACTGAAGTTCCCCTGCCACCGAGGCCCCTGTGGCAGGATTCCTCAAGTCCAAGCCCCCAAGTCCCCTTCCTTCCCCCAGACACTCCTTTCACGCACAGGGTTTCCAGAGCACTTGTCCCTCCCCTCCACCCACCCCTGTGATGATTCTGGCTCAACTTCTCCTGGCTTTAGAGAAGTCAGAAGTCACCCACCTGGCTGCGACAGCCTACATCTCTGCAGACAGGGGAGGGGTTGGGATGGTAGGGGGACACCAGCAAGGGTGTAGCAGTAGGCACACAAGGCTGTATGGCAACGAGCTCAGGGACTCCCTGCATTGGGAGGAGGAGACAGGCCAGCGGGGGCTGGGTCCAGTTTCTTAGTTCTGACTCTCCACAGGTGATTGCTCTAACAGTACTGGCTTCGGTGCGGATCTATTACCAGTACCGCCGGGTGAAGCCTGTGACCCGGGAGATTGTCATCCGTGACCCCTATGCCCTCCGGCCTCTGCGCCGACTCATTGATGCCTACGCTTTCCGAATCTATGGCCACTGGGTGAAGAAGGGACAACAGCAAAACCGGGCTGCCCTTTTTGAGAACACACCCAAGGCTGTGCTCCTCTCCCTGGCTGAGGAAGATTACTAAGGGGCTGGCAGGTGGGGTAGGTGGGGGTGGGGCAGGCAAGGAGGGAATGCTACAGAAATAGAAGTTGAGGAGGGAAATCACGTCCAGGCCTCTGTCCAGAGGGAGCACTTGGCCCTGGCCAGGACCCCTGGAACTAGGGCCATTAACCCCTCTCAGAGCTCTGCACAAGAAAAGCAGCGTGCTCCCATCACACCTTGTTAAGTGTGGTCAGGGCAGGCCCCATGGAGAGGGAATGAGAGGGCATCTGAGAGTCCTCCTGCTTCTCTATTTCCCAGCTGCACCACCATCTTGGCTCCTTCTCATGGGAGGCCCAGAGTTCCTGACACTTGAGTGTACTTCCCGTAGGGTCCAGGGTGAGGATCAAAGACAGGACAGTCTGAGATACACAATCACAGGGGATTTTACTGACCTCACAACATCCAGTGACATCATGAAAGCAGGTTCTTTTCCAGGGACATGTGTTTACAGGCATATGGAAGCCCACATATAGTTAATAATATAAAGGGAAGGTTCTGGTATTCGTCTCTCTCGAGTATTATTCACTGTAAGACTCCCAAAATGCAGTTTTGTCTGGTACATAACTTGGTTCTCCTAAACCCTTTTAAGACTCACTTTGTGCTTTAAAGAGCCCAGCTACTGCATTCTACACGCAGATAGTAGAAATTAGGTTCTTTCAGAAGTATATGAAACTGACAAATGGGGTGAATGAAGGAAGTATTTTCCTTCTATAGCGGTTTGCTGGGAAAACAAAGAAAAATGGAGAAAATTCTGCCTTGAGAAAACAAAGTCAGATCCCTGAATCAGACACTGAGAAAGTGGGAGGGAACAGATTTAAGAATTTTTAAGTGCCTTTTAGAGTACTCTACCCTGACTGTTGGAGGACTGGCCCCTGTATGGCTAACATCTGACCTCTAAGAGAACACTCTGCTCCCTGGGCACCATCAGTAAGTCGGGTCCCTTCTCCACGACACACTGGTACCCCCTTCTGAGGTCACAGTCCTCTCCTGGCCAGGGGAGGAATGGGGAAAGGGGGAAGGAGGCCATTCCCAAGGCCAACTCTGAAGAGCCTGGAGTTTGGCTTTGGAGGCCAGGGAGAGACGTGGGTACCAGGGAGCTCTTCTTCTTGGCTCTGCATGGCTGTTCACAACTCTCCAGGCAGTCGGCCTATGCTGGAAGCACAGCGGAAGCCTAGATTGTCTGAGGCTGAATCTGGAGTGTTACCCATCCTGCCACCACAGAAGAGGGAAGAGAATAGTTCATTGAGAATGGGGCCTGGAGCCTTACCCAGTTTTCCTTTGTAGGGCCTGCCGTGGCCTGGGGTGCCTGGGGGCTGAGGGCATGGTTTAGAAAGAAGCCTGGTTATGAGGGCACTGCTGGGGAAAGAGGATAAGAAGGGACCTGGGACGGGGTGGAGGAAGTGTGAGTGAGCAGCCATTAGAGTCTGCTCTGGAAGGTGAGAAAGGCAATGACTAGTAACTTCAAGCTGTTCATAGTCTAGAATAACTCAGCTGAAAAAAGCCTGTTGGTAAGAAGTGAGAATATCATAGTGCCAATAAGTACTTCATACTTTTCAACGAACTTTCACTTATGTTCCTTCATTAGCCATTCCTCAACACTTCTGGCAGGCAGGATTTGTTCAGCATTTAAGGCCCAGAATCAGATACTAGGAAGATTTCAAGGTCTTGCCCAAGACCAACCACTGCTTCATGGACACAACAGATTCAGTGGCAAACCGAGCTTTCTGGTTCCCAGGCCAGTACTTTCCCCACTACTTTGTCCTAGAAAAGGAGGCGAGGGAAAGCCAGGGGCCTCAACATATTAAAGAAACATATGCAAACCTGACTTTCTGAGACCAGAGAAACTGTGGTCTCTTTCTAGTCCTTATGGAATCCAGGAATGAGAGGGGTCAGAGGGAGATCAATCAAAATACATCTACAGATGAGCAGAGCAGAGTGTGTCCCAGGAGGGGCTCAGGAGCTTGGGACTCAACCATTCAGGTGCCAGCACTAACCATCTGTGTGATACAAGCAGGTCCTAACACCTTTGTGAACCTATTTTTCCTTGACTGTACAACAAAATGGTTCTAGAAAATGATTTTTCATGTGCTTTCCAGCTTGAAGAGTCAATATTTCCATGACCACAGGCCATGACCTTTTATTGAGGTGACCATTACACTCCCCTGCCTCTAAGGACAAAGAAAAGCCCTGGTGATGCTAGACACAAAGTCTCTCTGGGTGCTGAGAGCTGGCAAGAAAAGGCAGAAGTTGCCCTGGGCATGTTGGCTTCTCATGGCAAGTGCTGCTTATTCTCCTTTCTGTACTCACAGGGCGCAGAGAGAGGGATGGAGGTAGTACCAACACAAGCTCTGTGAGACCAGGGCCCAGACCCTCAGCCCCTAGCTGCCGGACTCCTCACCTGGTATTGACCTGGGCCAGGTGATTGGCAGAGCCATCAGCTGTGTCAGTCCAGGATGCCCCCTGGAGAACACGCATGTCCTGGTCAGCAGATGGATACAGAGATGCCGTCCACTCCCATACGTTGCCCATGAGGTCATAGAGTCCTGAGCACAGCAGGTGGATCAGCCCCAGGCTGGGCAGCCCTACCTCCAACCCCCCTGCTGCCTTGGGTAGCAAAGGCTTTGGGGAGCAAATGCTCCCCTGGTAGTGTTTCCCTCTGCCTCAGCCTTCAGGCAGAATGATCACACCAACCAATCTGTGAGTGTTGACAGCAACGAATCTTACCATAGTTATTCTGTGGAGGGAAAGCATTCACTGGGGAGACTCTGTGGAAGCCATCTTCCGCCTTGTCACCCTTGGGGAACTTTCCCTGAGGAGGAGAAATTTAAGCTAAAATATTTACCAATCTGTTCCAAGGTGGGTGTTCCTGCCTGCCCAAGGGAAAACCAAGGTCATACTGCAGCGTCATCTCGGGTAGGATGAAGGGCATGAGGCGGTGCACTGAGGTGCCTGCCCTGAGCTCCCACACTAGGCTCCTGTCTTCCACCATCACCTCCTGGCTGGATTAGGAAATGTGCCCACAGTGGTCTACGTCAAGCCCATCCCACTCTCACTTTCTCTCAGCAGCCTCCACCCCTCCACCTTGAGCTTCCCGTACTTCAAGGACTTGGGAAGAAAGGCTCCTGCCAGCTCCTTTTGCTCAGCACCACCTGGCTTCTCCAGAATGGTGATGCCTGCCCTGTACTCTTCTACCACCGACAGGTTTAACGCTACCTCATCTGCCCCGACTCTACCATCCTCATCTGTTTTTTACCTCCAAAATGCTTGAAAAAAGGAACCTATGTTTGCTGAAGCACTTTGTTCAATTTGTTCATTCTTCTCATTAAAATTGGGGTTCAGCTCCCCCTGCTCCATGGAAGCTGCTTTTACTAAAGGGAAAGGGTAGTAACTTACTCAACAGCTACTATGTGCTCGGATCTCTTTTAATTTAATCCTTAGAAGGTTGTGAGGCAAGTAGTTTCTCCCTTTAAAAAAACTGGCAACTAAGGCTCAAAATGGTTAACTTCTCAAAGATCTCACAGTAAATAAGTCAGATCTGTCTTCTTGCAAACCTCTGATCCCAAGATCATCTAAAAGATCAATTTACCCCTCAGGTCCTTTTTAATGCTTCCCCCTGAAATGCTAATGCTTGCCCCCCTCACACTACAGAGTCTCCCTGGGGAATAACATTCTTGTATAAGATATATGCTGACGACTCCCAATCCACCTGCTCTGACCCAGACTTCTGTCCTAAGATCCAGACTATTTTCAAACTTTGAGCTACAAAGGACCCGAAGGCATCTTAAATTAAGCTGATCCTAAACTGATCAAGTTCTATCCCTCTAACCCCAAATGCGTATCATCTATTCTGGATAATGGTCACCGTCACTCTGTTGCCCAAGCTTAGATTCATGTTTGAATCCAACTCCCATTCATGTCTCCACATTCCATTAATTACCAAACCCCATCTATCTCCTCAGGCATGCCTCTCCCATTTGGCTTCCTCTCCATTCCACTTCTACTTACATGTTCTTGGGCCACTGCCCACAACCTCAAATTCAGATACCTCCCACCCCACCGTCATTGCAGCTCTACTTCATTTAATCCTGCACAAATTAGCAATTAGCATCCTCCCCAAATCAAATGATATTGTTAGTCCCCTAATTAAAAACCTCTGCCTGCAGGGGAAAATCTAAAACTGTATCTTGGCACACCTGGTCCTTCATAATCTGCTAACAAGCCACCATCTACTTTGTCTCGTACACCTCCTGCCTCACTGAATTTGTCCCATCTCTGAATGCTCAGTACCCTTTCCTAATACAGGGCTGACATGTTGTTCCTTCTGCTGCAAATGCCCTTTCCTCTACTTTTCACTTGGCAAACTCTAAGCTCAAATGTCATGTTCTCTGTGGAGTCATCCCCATCATTCAGGCAGTCCTTTACTTCTGCAGCTCTTCAGAGTTACCACTCCCACTAGAACACAAAGCCCCACAGCTCAGGACGATGTCTGGCCTCAGGAGGTCTCAGTCAGTGCTTTGAAAGGGGCAGGGTGAGGAGCTTACATCTTACCTGCCACAGGTTGGTGTGGTTTGGCTGGAACTGGTTTCCCCATGGGTAAACCTGACCTGCCAGGAAGGCAAGGAGACAGCAGGGGAGGGGAGGTGAAGGGTTGTGGAAGAAGGGAAAGGCAGGAAGAGCAAGGGAACCAAAAGAAGTCAGGAGGTGATGACAAAAGAGAGAGGTTACTCATCACTTTTATTTGCCATGCTTGCCCCTTCCACTCAGTGCCCTGCATTCAGAGGCTCTGGCTTCCTGCTCTGCTCCAGGACAGTGCAATCCCAGCTGCGGTTCTTACTAATGCCAGTCTGTAAACTATCTGTTACCAGATCACATCCAGGTAAGTACAGAAATTGAGAGTAAGAATCAAGAAACTTGTCAAGTGGACTTAGACTAGATAAATAAGCAACCTCGTTTAGATTGGATAAGCAACAAGGCTGTAGAGATGTTGAACATGGGGAGTTGCTGTTTCCTCCTAAGTTTAATTAGGACTGCAGAACTTTGTTGTTTATGCAAGTTCTTTCACACCTACGGAAAAGGCAGGCTGGGTAATTCTTCCCTGTGCTATGTTGTTCTGATTAGATTCACTGAGATGTAGTATGTCTGGGTGAAATCTCTAAGAATAACAAATTTTATGTCTGTTTCTTCATTTCAGTTTTCCAGTTATTAATTTTTATGGAATTTTACAGACGTATTGGTCTGAGATGAATCAGAAGTGAGAACAATAACTGGCCCTCCACCACACGGTTTAAGAAACGCTGCTCTAGGGAGTATGGAGCCTTCCCACCCTTCAAAGCACCCATGTAGGATAGGATAAAGAAAGAATAAAGGGTAGTGACTTTGCCATCTTTATACCCTTCAAGCCCCCTCGGGCAGCAAACTCCCACTCTTCCTCAGTGGGCAGCCGTTTCCCCTTCCAAGCACAGTAGGCCCGAGCATCATTCCAGCTCACGTGTAGCACTGGGAGCTCCAGTCTCTCTTGGATGCCAGAGTTAGGACCTGCAGGCTGACAGCAGTGAGATAGCTTCTGGGAGCTCATGGAAGTCTGAGGAAAGCTGGGCTTAGAGTGCCTGAGTTGAGCTTTTACCACCAGATTGAGCAAGGAAGTTGGAGGAACTAGCCTGGTGAGTGAGGAGAGGACAAGCATCAGGAAGAGCATAAATATGAGCCAAGGGAGAAAGGGGATGGCGCACTGGGAAAAAAAGATCAGGGCAGAGTTTTGCCATCCATGTTTTTTCTGGCTGCTTCTTTGAAATTTCTGTCACCCTTTTAAATTTAGCATTTCTAGATGGGCAAGGGGTCTAGAGAAGACAGGCCTCCAGAATAAGAGTCAACAGGGGTAGAAAACAAGGCAGATGACTCAATCCTTACCTGCCTCCAGAATGCCCTTTCCACTGGAAGCCACCGGAGAACAGACTGCAAAACAGAAGCAGCATGACTGCAAGTTGCTCTGCCCCAGCAAGGGCACCTTCCTGCCTGACATGCAGGAGGCAGAAGAGATACTGCAGGCTGAGACTCCAGAGGTCCAAGGAGGGGTGCTGTTTCTGGGCCCCCGAGAGCAGGACATCTCACTACCATTATTAGAGGGATGTCAAGATGTTCTCTTGCCAGTTCAGGGAGTAACCAGAACTCTCCATGTACCCAGTTCCTTACCGAGCCTCAGGCTGCAGAAATCAGCCCAGGGTGAACCCCCAGGAGTGTGTGTTCCTGACTCTTCCATGGAGGAGTTCTCTTGCTACTTCCTTGCCTGCAGCTCTCAGATGTGATTCTCTGTGGTGGCTAACCCACTCCCACTCAATCAGCTGCAAGCCCAGGTTCTCTCACCACCATTTGATGAGTCACTTTGTTTCTAAGCTCATTGGCGACAAACTCCTCAAAGACAAAACTCCACCCGAACATCTCAGCCTCTGTCCGGTACTTATTTTCCCTGACAAACTCCCTGCAAAGAGATATTTCACTTGGTTAAGCTCATAAGGTTCTATGTCCCACTCTCACCCACTCCAGCTCCAGAAAAACTCAGATATCCTTCTCCTCTAAAACCACACACCACAGAATTTCCCTCAACAATTAACATAAAAGCCCGAGTAGATTTTCTTTTAAAAATCTGTTGCTGTATGTGTAATTTACATAGTCAGGCACTCTTTTTAGCAAAGCATATAGTCACTATCACAATCAAAACATAGAGCAAGTCTATCAAACCCCTCTGAAAACTCTCTCATGCCTCTACAACCACTCATCTGGTTTCTGTCCCTATAGTTCTGCCTTTCCCAGAATATAAATCCACATAAGTTGAATCATACAGTATGTAACTCTTGGGTCTAGCTTCTTTCACTTAGTGTAATGCTTCTGAAATTCATCTACTTTTTTTTTTTCTTTCTTTCTTTTTTTTTTTCCATCTACGTTTTGCCAGTATTGGTAGTCTGTCCCTCTTTGTTGAAGAATATCATTTTATTGTATGGATGTACTGAGTTTTACTTATCCATTCACCAGGTGCAGGTCATCTGGGTTACCTCTGTTTTTGGAAATTGTGAATAAAGCTGTTGAGATTTAAGGGTGGGGAATGGGTCTCTTTTCTGAAAGGTCTTCACATACTTACTCTCACAACAATCGCGAGAGGAAAGCAGAACGTGTTTCTATCTCCATCTAACAGGTGAAAAAAACTAAATCAAATAAAAATAATGTGCTGAGATTTTAGAATGGATTTTCACATAGTTTGGTGTGGTACAGCAAATCTCAGCAAGCAAACTGCCAGGGTAAGATGGATTGTTTTCACTGGCTAAAAGTATCCCATCTGTGCCAGTCCTCTGATACGAAAAGACATTGTTCACCCATCAAAGGCGCATTGAGGACAGAGGTGATCGGATTTGGTAGCAATAGCTATTTACCTCAGAGCATCTGAATGGTCTGAAAATCTTTTACCAGAAAAGCAGAGACAAATCATGGGTTCCAAGTAAAGTTTAGGGGCTTGCTGGAGATCTATCAGGAATAAAGCACAAAAATAAACAAATAAATAAGTCCCAAAATTTGAAATATAAAAAATTTCTATCATAAAATATACCATAATTTGAAATATATCAAAGAAGGCACACTGTGTATCTAGCTAGCTAGCTATGTCTGGTTCACATGATATAGTACAAGCCTCATCAGAAGTAATTTCTCTTTCAATTTTAATAACTTTCCTGTTTAAAAAATTCTTAAAAAAACACATATAGGTAATGCACAATGTATTATAGAAAATGAGAAAATACAAGTAGATAAAAAGAAAAAATTTGAAATCATCCATTATCACATCAACAAAGATATATCCATGCATATCCCTTCCTGTTCTGCCACCCAGCGACGATTTTTAAATAGCTTTAATAAGGTCTTTCCTGAAAAAAATAAAAATAAAAAGAGTACTTCCCTGGAATTATTTTCATTTGGAAGTCACAAAAACATGGGCAAAATCTGTTAACTAATGCAATGCTGCATGTTCTAATTCTTTTTAAATGCATATATAGTCTATACACATATTTTTTAAAAATAGTGTATATTGTTTGTAAGCTACTTTCTTTGCTTAATATCTCACATTACTTCTTTTTGACAAGATTTTTTTAAGATTTTTTATGTATGTATGTATGTATGTATTTATTTATTTATTTATGATAGACATAGAGGGAGAGAGAGAGAGAGAGAGAGAGAGAGGCAGAGGGAGAAGCAGGCTTCATGCCAGGAGCCTGACATGGGACTCGATCCCGGGACTCCAGGATCGTGCCCTCGGCCAAAGGCAGGCGCTAAACCGCTGAGCCACCCAGGGATCCCCTGACGACAAGATTTTAATGGCTAAGTATTCTGTGATGTTGATTCAATATGTTTAAGCAATCTTTATGTTGTTAGTATTTGTTTAAATGGCATCTTTTTAGATAAGTGTTTTCTGGAAGACCTTAATTCTTTCCTTAAGGAACATTTCAAAAGGTGGAATCAGAATCCTTAAGTCAAAAAAAAAGGCCCGAGAAGTACATCAACCATCCTTATGCTTACTTCAGTCTGTGTCTTCTGAATTAATTTTTCCCCATAAATTTTTATCTTAAAGAGTTTTTATTTATTAAAAGATTTTATTTATTTATTCATGAAAGATACAGAGACAGAGAGAGGCAGAGACACAGGCAGAGAAGCAGGTTCCATCCAGGGAGCCTGATGCTGGACTCGATCCTTGGACTCCAGGATCATGCCCTGGGCCGAAGGCAGGCGCTAAACCACTGAGCCACCCAGGGATTCCTCCCCCACCCCCCCTTTTTTTTAAAAACATAATGTTGTTTTTTTTTTTTAAGATTTATTTTTTTATTCAGAGAGAGAGGCAGAGACACAGGCAGAGGGAGAAGCAGGCTCCATGCAGGAAACCCGATGTGGGACTCGATGTGGGACTCGATCCTGGGTCTCCATGATTACAACCCGGGCTGCAGGCGACCCTAAACCGCTGCACCACTGAGGCTGCCCATCTTAAAGAGTTTTAAATCCACAATGTAACACTTAGGTCATCTCCCACATTGGCTTTGTGTTCCTGTTCCCTCCTCTTTTCCTCTAACTCTTGAGTCTCTGGACTTCAGATTCTTCATCTGAAAAATGAGCTAAGATTTTTCCCACAGTAGTATTGCAAAGATGGTATGTATTAGTAAACAAGCTACTTTCCTTTTAGATATTAGGAATGAAAAATAGAGCCTCTACCCCTCCTGGGAGAACACTGGAAGTAACTGAAATCTTTGTTGGTGACAGGAAATACATCAATGGCAAAGGGTTTTACTGTCACCTCCCGTACTGGCCCTTCACCATTTCTGCCATCTGGTGAATTTGTTCCCATCTGGAATCTGCCCCCTGGTAGCTGCACCATGCTAGTAGCCTGCCCATTCCCTGCAGAGAAAAAGGAGCACTGTCAGTAATACATGAATAAATATAATACAAGTGACAATATTTGGATTATATGTCATATTCATAATGTAATGAAAAAAACGGAGTTTTCGAAATTTGGCCTTAAATTCTCGTTCTGCCCCTTAATTTGTTGGGCAACCTTTGGCAAATTAGTTAATCTGAGTTTTGATTTCTTTGCCTACAAAATGGAGATAACATCTATTTCATGGGTGTGGCTGTCTGTAAAATGCTGTGAGCAGATGGTATTTATTCAACAAACATTTATTTCCACCCTTACTGTTCAACTCCTGTACACAACAACTTTTTGTCCCAGCTAGGTAAATCTAGAAACGAATAACCTGAAATATTTCTAGCACCTTTCTACCTATACTTCTGCTCATGTTGTCTCTGCTTCTTCCTCCCCCTTCTTAATGATTTTCACCATTATACCACATGCTCCAGAAAGAAAAGGACTGTATCTATTTTGCCAGTGTATTCCTGGCATTTAGCACAAGAGCACAATAATTAGCAAATAGCTGAAGGAGCTCCTTCATATCTGCTGTTTGAATGCCTCAGAAAATCGGGATTAAAAGGATCATCAATTCAATCCCGATTTAACAGGAAAAAAACCAATACCCCCAAAAGGAAAATAACTGACAGAGCTGGTTAGCAGGGACTAGGACAAGATTCAAGCGCCTGCCTTATCTTCAAGACGACCCGCGTCCACCCAGGGATCCACCCAGGGACCTCTAAGGACTGTGAGCTCCCCAGTGCGGAGCCCCTCCCTTTTTTATGTTTCTCTGCCTTCACCCTCCTGTTCCCATTCTGACACATTCACACTCATGATCAAATCTACTTCAAGGGAGAAAGAAATGCAGTAAGCAGGGGAATCTCAGACTAAAAGGGAATTAAGAAACTACATACAACTGCAACGTGTGAGGTTTATTTGGACGCTAACTCACCACGTAAACTATGACAAACGGTGAATTTGAACACTAACTGGACGTTTAATGGCATTAACGTAGGGAAAGAGCACGGCATTTTTCATGACTTTGTCTTTTCAGCCACTCAAGCTGCGTATTTACAAATAAAACTGTGAATGCCTGGATTCACTTCACAAAGGCTGCAGGGAAATGACAAAGTGGGAGCGATACCAAAACAGCAACATTAACTGTTAACTGGCAACTGTTCGGGCTCCATGATGGGTACAAGGGGGGAGGGAGTTGCCTAGACTCCAAACCGAATCACAAATCAGAGAAGTTGCACCGGGGAGCGCCGTCCCCGCCGGCTCCGGGAGGCCCTGCCGCCCCGAGCTCACCCAGAGAGCGGGCGGACCGCCAAGGTCGCCTTCCCGGCCGGGGCACGGAACCCACCCCCGTCCCGGCTCCTGGGGCACACACAGGGTGAGGGCCAGGCCCGCACTGACCCAGCGCGAACCAGCGAACCACGGAGCGCACCGGACCAACAGCACAACGAGCAGCGGCGGCGACGCGCCCATCCAGGAGCCCTCGCAGCGGACGCACTACTTGGCCCGCCCCGTGCCTGCTCCGCCCCGCTCCTGAGCGTTTTTGGTTTTTTTCGGTCAAAGGGTTTGCTTAAGTCCCGCATCCGGGCAGCCGGGCACGAAAAACGTGTGCAGCCTGATAGGGGAAGTGCGGTTTTCTCGCGGTATTGTCAAAGGACCCCGCTAACTCCAGAAGCCCCGTCATTACCCCATGAACACATTTGGGCTTTCCTCCCCTTTTCCAATCACACCTCTTTTGGGCGCTAGGACACCATCTCAAGATCAAAGAAAAGGTTTCACCATTTATTGTACACTTACTGTACGCAACTGCCAAGTCCTCAAAAGCACAAAGCCTTCCAGCACACAACTTCATGGTCAAGGACTATAAATGATGAGTGGCCACCTGGTCCACTGGACATGTCCTGTTCCGTAGCCCATGCTTGGACGGCCTCAACTCTGCACATTTCTCCACCTCATACTTGGGGCCTATTCAACTCCCTGGCCTCTACTTCTCTCATCTTTGTGTCAACTTTTTTTT